ATGTGCATACATGCGTACACATGTATATGTGTGTACATGTGCCTGTATGCACACATGCACAGCAGCAGGGAAAGTAAGTAAACAGGCAAAAGTCCTGAGAGCCCCCAGGGGTGCAGGGGTGGCAACAGAAGGTGCCTGGAGGAGCCCAGAGCTAGTGGGGAAGGGATGGGCAGTGGGGACAGGACACGACAGCTGGTGGCAGGTAATGTGGAGGTGAAGAAGGTCCTAGGAGGTGGAGCTGCCCAGCAAGGACAGTGATGGTGGCTCCAGTGGCGCCCTTAGCAAGGGCAGTAAGGTGAGCAGGCCCTCCCACCTTGCCTCCTTTGGCACTCGATCACCCTGTAGTCATGTGGCCTTGTTGATCTCAGCTTCCCCATGCATGATAGAGACATGTCTTATGTGGCCACACCACCCAGGACAGTGAATAGCAGAGGCTGGCGCAGCATGGAGAGCTGCGAAGCACCCAGTTCCCCTGTCCTGCCAGGACTCTACCTCTAACAGTCCTGGAAACTAGGAATCAGACCCTAAACTCACTTGAAACACAGCAGCCTCTCCCTGGTACCTAGGTAGAGACATGAGCAGAGCTGGATGGGAGAGTGCCCACCTGTGGGCTCACTCTGACTCCTCCCAAGTCCCTAAAATGCCACCTCCTCCAAGAGGACTCCTGGCCACCCTGGGTGAAACAACACTACCAGTCCCAACGCCACATCTGCAGGTGGACAGCACTATGCAACTTCATGGGGCAGCAACCTGCCACATCCGATGGTGGGGTACTCTTTATGGCCAGGCACACACTATACGGCCTGCTGCCTGTCCCTGTGTGGCCTGAGAACTGAGAACAGCCTTTACCCTTTGACATGGTTAAAAATCACGAGACCATTTTCTGACATGGAAAATTATAGTGTCACTAGTGCACCTGTCCCTAAGTATTGTCTCCAGCTGCTTCCTCATTATAGCAGCAGAGCCAAGAGGCTGCAGTGGGCACCGTGTGGCCCACAAAGCCCCAGATATTTACCTAGCCCTTTATGGAAACCACTAGCTAACTCCTGCATGTGGCCATCAACTCTGTCTCTCCAACTACCAAAGGCACGAAGTAGAAAGAAAAAACGGGGAGAGAATGCACTAGATTAAAGAACTTAAGAGCCTGAATAACCAACCACATGAGGAATTTGCTGGGTCTAGATTCAAGACAATTGGAGGACAACTGGGGGGAAAAATCAGAATGTCTGGAGTTAGTCCATCCATGAGGTTATGAGCGAGTAATTCAAAGACAGTAAAGCTTTGCTGCTCACAGTTCTGGAGGCTGCCAACTCCAAGATCAAGGTGTTACAGAGTAGGGGTAAGGCCTGTCTCTACTTCAAAGGTGACACCTTGGATGCCACATCCCCACTTATCAGAGAGCAAACATGCTTCCTCTGGTCTCTTTTACAAGGTCCCTAACCCATTCCCCAGAGCAAAGTCTCATACCCTATTCACCTCTCAACACCCCCTCTCCCGTTAAAACTATCACGTTGTGGATTAAGCTGGAACATATGAATTTTCAGGGGGCCCAAACATTCACATCATGTGAATGGAGATGCCAAGAGAGTACCCCTGGGACAGGGCTTGTCCTGGGTGGAGGTGGACAAGTGCTACCCAAGTGAATGTCCATGTGGCCAGGACTTTGGGTCCCAGCCCTAGCCCCCTTGTCAGAGCCTCGGGCACCCCTGGGTGTGTATAGCAGCAGCCAACTTTGCATTTAAGAAGTGAAGTCTGAGCAATAGGATATCCCTGGTAGTTAGGGCAGCCTCCCAGCCCTGAGCAGCCCCTTAGCAGGACTGGACAGTGCTGGCCACCTAGGACATCATTTTCCTCTGAGAGTCCCAGAGGAGGATTCTCGTGGGGTTTGGAGATGGCCCACATGATGGCTGAACAGGGTTGCAGGGACCCCAACTCAAACATACCCAAGCAGGGTGGGGGAAGGATGTCCAGGCCAGGATAGGCCCTATAGGGTAAATGCACCACCCCTACCCTTTGTTCCCAAATAGCCAGATACACGAGCCCTCCCGCCCAAAGCAAATGTGGACTCTAAAACCCAAGTCTGAAAGAAATTCTGACTATCTAGCACCCAGTGCCCTGCCAGCATCTCCTCTCCCACACCCAGGGCACCCTCAGAAGGCACCAGCCTTCACCAGGGCATATCCGGGAATAAGATCGACAGGACCACTCCAGGCAGCACCCCGACTCATAGCCAGGGGCTTGGACCAGCATAGAGGGTAGGCGCTCAGCTTCCTACCCACATCCAGTATCTCTGAGAGTCTAACAAGAGTCTCAGCACCCCATCAGAAATGGGGTGCATGCAGGGGTAGGACTTAGCTTGCGCGTGTACTCAACACGCTGCACACACCTGCTCTGGGTCCAGGGTCCAGGCAGAGAGGCCCAGGCCTGGGCTGCATTACAGCCTTGTCACCAGAGTGTCCTGCAGCAAGTGGGGCAGATGGCTTTCCGCCCCAGGGACAGCCCCCTTCCAGCGTCCCCACGCACCTGCAGCATAAGCTCGCATTCCTCACGCCCCACAAAGATGAGCTCACGTGGGAGCCGGTGGCGGGCACCACTGCTGCTCACCAGGAACCAGGACGTGACACTCATCTTGACACTGGCCACATCCGAGAGCCCTGTGGAGAAGGGTTGTGGTCAGAGTGGGGCTCCCTGGCTTGGGCTGTGACCCTCTGGACATACCCAAGTCCCAGTTCAGATCCTGTACCCCAGAGGCAAGCTGGCCATTCTGGGCACTCCAGGCCACCCAGCCTTCCCCAAGTGTGGACGCAAGTCCCTCTCTCTGGCCTGTTCCCTATGTGACCTGCCTTTCCCACCATATCCATCCATGGATGCCCTGCCAAGGCCACCTGGCCCTCCCTTATCTCCTAGGTTCACTGCACCTAATCTCTTCCCTCTTCTGGGTGTCAAGGGTCAAGGTTCATGGGACATCAGGGGTACTGTGTGTGTGGATCTCCATATCAGAGTGACCCATGAGGGATAGCTTGTGAACAAGACCCCACATGGCCCATCAGGACCCTGCAATGCCAGGTCTAGACCTACCCCAGGACATAAATCCTTATTCAGTGGACCTGCTCCCCCTACAAGGACATTCTGGTATTGAGTTCCAGGCAGGGGCCCTGGAAGTGGGGTGCAGCAGGAACAGAGCTGGAGCCAGGCCCTGAGCCATCAATATGCCCAGCACCAAGAGAAGGTGAATGTCCCTTGGTGGTGACTATGCGAAGACAGCAGCAGGCAGCTCCTTGGGGCCCAGAAGGAGGTGGCCTTGGTGCCTGTGGTCCCCGAGCCATCAGCAAAGGAGGGGTCTGAGGAATGGTATGGTCAGCACAGGCAGGGAGCACTGCATTCGCAGGAGGGGCACAGTGTGGACAGCCTGATTGACTCCAGAGCCAGCGTTGCCGGACACCAGGCCCTGAGCTGCCCAGGGCAGCCATGTGCACAGAGCACAGGGTCATCAGCACCCTGCAAGTTCAGAACACACAGCCACATGCAGATGTGCACAGTTTGCAAACATGTCCCACACACTGCTGTGTGCCCAGTGGTGACCTGGGCTGAGACAGCACAACCCAGACACAGAGTCCACACCCCTGGGGGTCCTTCAAGCTGGGAGGCCGGCAGCAGAGAAGGTGAGTAATTCATGAAGTGTGAAGAGTGACACAGAGAACAGGCAAATGGCGGGATGGTGGTGCTGGGGGCGGGGGTTGGGAGAAGGTGGCACCTGGGCACAGCTGGGCAGGGGTGGAAGTGAGCATGTGAGTGTCTGTGGGACTGCATTCCAGGTAGAGGGGACAGCCAGTGCAGAGGGCAGGGCAGAGAGACAGGGCCTCGTGTGCCCCTGGGAGTCCTGCAACTTGTCCTGGAGCCAGATGGAGCTATGGAGGGCCCAGGACAGGCTCCATCACCACAATGCCAAGTATAATGAAGCAGCCTTGTCCAACAATCATGACAAAGAAAGCAGAGCATGGAACCCAGCATGGGGCTCTCTGGGCTGCCGGACACACACTTGTGAGGCAGGCCCTGGGGCCCTGAGTCCACAGGCACCAGCAGAAAGAACAGCTAGAGGATGGCCAGAAGATTGGTCAGGAGGTGAGGACATTCACCCAGGACAGAGATGACAGCTGCTAGCACTCCACTGGGAGCAGAAGAGGTGGTCAGGCTGCCAGGCCGAACAGAGTCACTGCCACAGCCACAGGGATGGTGTGGACTTGGACGTGAAGGCCCCTGTTGAGCTGGGGATGGCTGCACAGGGTCCCTCCACATACTGCCCACCATGCATGAGGTCATGGTCACATGCAGTCACTCTCATCACAAGCAGAGCTGGCCCTGTCCCTGCAATGCCCATACCCAGGGTCCTCAGCCATCAGACTCTTAGTCCAGGTCTCAGCTCCCTTCCAAGTGGTGAACAGGTGAAAGCAACACCTGTTTCAACCATCAGCAAATGCCCAAGTGACCACATACCCTAGCACCTACCCTTGCCTTATGGGAGCAGGTGGGAAAATGTAGAAAAATCCACACAGGAGAAGGCAGCTCCAGGCAGCCAGAACTTCCCTTGCCCTGCCCTTCCTTTGGATGCAGCTGGAGACCAAGGGGGAGACTTCATTGTCCCTGTAGCCCCATCCCCCCAGAGGCTGCTGTGGGAGGTGACCGGGCCCGCCCATAACGTATCTCCCAGCCCCCACATCTCACATTCTGCCATCCCCTGCTGCCAGCTCCCGGTAGCCAGGGGCACAGGACCTCCACCCCAGGAGGCCACAACAGAGGCTTAAGGCAAAGGAAGGCCAAGCCCCCAGAACCTGGTCATGCAGCTATGCCAGAGCCCAGTGCCGGCTGCCACCAGCTGCCCGTCTGGGAGAGGCCTAGGAGCCGTAGACGCTTCCAAAGGGCCCGGCTGCTTCGGGCTGGGTTGGCCACGTCGCTAGGAGGGGGAATAATAAACACCCAAACTTGTCCCTCCAACGCCCCAGCGAGAAGGCCACCCATGCACAGGCACAGGTAAGGATGGGCTGAGGGAGATGCCCAGGGACAGGGGCTGCGGCGCGGCTGGAAGGAGCAGACGGAAGGACAGGCTGGGAGAGGAGGCAGGGACAGAGACTGCGGCGAAGGGAAATGAGGAGAGAGGAAGACGGAGGGAGGGACCGCGGGAGGAGAGACCAGGCCAGAGGGAGGCGGCCGGGAGGCGGCGGGGCGGGAGCGCCAGGCCCGGAGGAGGAGGGAGCGGCGCCTTCTGAATCAGCGCTCGCCGGGGGCGGCCATGGCCACGCCGGTGTCGGGGCGAGGACCCGGGCTCCCAGGCCTGCCCCACCCCCCACTGAGCAGGCTGCGTAGACGCGCACCCGGCCAGGCCGCGTAGATGCGCGTCGGGAGGCCCCTCCCGGTCTGGCGCAGACCTGGGCCTCCTCCGGGCGGCTGGGACCGGCCTGGCCAGGTGCACTGGGCGGTCCCCGCCCCCAAGCTTTTGTCCTGGGCCTGCTGGGACCCCCACCGCCTAGGCTCCCGCCCGTACCCAGGGCAGTCCCTCAGGAACGCAGGTGCGGGCTGTGGGAGGCCCGGGTATCGGCGAGCTCGTGGCCAGCGCGTCTTACCTGTGGTTCGGACTGGGTTCCCGGCTTGCCCGCTTGGTCCCTAGCTCGGCCCGGCTGGGTCCCAGCCCTCCCGCCCGCCCGGCCGAGCGCTGGGCGGGGCCGCTGCCTAGGACATGCCCGGCGCGGCCCGCACGCTCTCCGCAGCCCAGCGGAGCCCACGGGCAGAGCGGCC